TAAGGCACTTAACTGGCCCAGATAGCACGCAGACGTTGGCCCAACGTCGGATCAACGTCGAAAAATTTATTGGCAGATGGTCGGCAACTGACGTTGCAACAACGTGGATTTGGAAGTCGGCCAACCGTTGGACTGACATTGGCCCAACGTCAACTTCCGACGTTGGGCGAGCGTCGCATTCTAACGTTGGTCCAACGTAGTATTATTATTTAAAAGCATCTTCAAAACTTTTATTCAAAAGATAAGCACGTGCTTACTAATTCTTAGGTAATGTTGCTTGAAACGGCTTGGCTAAACAATCGATGTCAACGAGTGGTTATAAACGGCATAACTTCTGAATGGAAAGCAGTCACTAGTGGAGTGCCTCAAGGCTCGGTCTTGGGCCCATTGCTATTCGTAATCTTTGTAAACGATCTGCCGGACAGAATTACTCATCAAATGAAACTGTTTGCCGACGACAGCAAAATAATAGGGATAATTAAAAAGGAGTCGGACAGCATCACTCTCCAAGATGACGTTGACAGAGCAGTGGAATGGTCACATATTTGGCTCTTGCATTTCATTGTTGAGAAATGCAAAGTAACGCATGTTGGGCGCGGATGTAACAAGTCGACGTATAAATACTCAATGTCTAACGTCGGCGGCACCCGTCGTCCTCTCGATAAAACCGCAGTCGAAAGAGACCTTGGTGTGATGGTCTCGAATGATCTTAAAGTCAGACCGCAAATAGAGTCAGCCGCATCAGTAGCAAATAGAATGCTAGGGCGACTCAAAAAAACATTTCGCAGTTGCAGTTTTTATTTATGGCGCACTCTGTATCTCACTTACATTCACCCCCATCTTGAGTTTGCTGTACAAGCCTGGTCACCGCATTTAAAATCAGACATTGCCATTCTCGAGCAAGTCCAAAACGAGCAACAAAAATAATATCGACTATTAAACACCTGTCCTATGAAGATCGACTCCAACGGCTCGGTTTAACAACTCTTGAAGAACGTCACAAAAGAGCAGATCTTATCGAGCAATTCAAAATCACTCGTAAACTCGAGCTTGTCAGTTTTATCGTCCCGCAACAATTTTCAAAAAGTAAAGATAAGTATATTCTAAGAGGCCATAACCATAAACTAGAACGTCAGATGGTGAAAAACTGTGAGGAGCGATATAACTTTTTTTCAAATATAATTGTCGCCCCATGGAATGCGCTTTCGCAAGAAGCAGTGAACGCTCAATCCATCAACGCTTTCAAAAACAACATAAAAAAGTTACTTTATAGATACAACAGCTGCTTTTTCTGTAGCGTCTGTATCTCCATGTTCGTCAGCATAGAGGGGCCTGGTGTAGCACCTCTCCATCAAATTATAAATGGATTATTGTATTTGTTTTTTCTCTCCAAATAAGTTTGAATGACTTTTTTTCGCGATAAACGAAAATTGGTTTTTTGCTGAATAAGGAAGCAATTTTATAACACAAAAAATCAAAATTTGTTGCAATAATCAATATAATGACATTAAAATATTCGTACAAATTATATACATATCCAAAAATAGAAATGTTTTTTTCAGCTGCTTAGCTTCCATACGAATCTTGAGTCTTTAATTTGCTGGAAAGGAACTCCAAACGTTCAAACGCTACTTTATACACGATTTGATAGAAATCTCAGAATTTGCATCTTATATATATATATATATATATATATATATATATATATATATATATATATATATATATATATATATATATATATATATATATATATATATATATATATATATATATATATATATATATATATATATACAAAAAAATTGAAAAATTGTCATACTACCGTGGATACCGAAATTAAGCATTTTACTTAAAAAAGAGTTTCGTAGAGTAGGTATTAAAACCGTTTATCGCTATAGTAATTTTTTACTTAATATTTTATGTCGCAATAAATCAACATTGCATCCAAATAGTTGTCCTGGTGTTTATCAGTTAGATTGTTTATGTGGTGCGAGTTATATCGGCGAAACTAGAAAAAAAGTTTCCACACGTGTTAATGAATACAAAAGAAACGTAGCTAAAAGTAATTGGGACGCATCAGAAATAGTTGAACACGCCCAACATTGTTGTGGTTCAATTAACTTTAGAAAACCAAAAATTATTTTTATTACTCCTAATAACTATACGCGTAAGATTCGAGAAGCAATTGAAATACAACGCTTACAGTGCTTTAAATCACAGGAGTATATCTTAAATCGCGACAATGGTAACTTAGTGATGACACGCCATTGGAGACCACTTTTTGTTAAACTTAAGTCTAAATCTGCAACGTTGCAATGACATTTTTGTTTTTTAGTTTTTATGAATTTTGTATAACGGTTTTTTCAGTTTGAAAATGTTTTATACTATATAAGCCGAAATATCACCATTTAATAATAAAAATAATATTTAACCGAACATGTTTTTATTGATGTTTTTAATCAATTAAATATAAAATATATTATTAACGATGTCACTTAAACAATATATATATATATATATATATATATATATATATATATATATATATATATATATATATATATATATATATATATATATATATATATATATATATATATATATATATATATATATGTATGTATATATATATATATATATATATATATATATATATATATATATATATATATATATATATATATATATATAGGGGAACCTGTTGAACCTTGGCACTATGTGCCAAGGTTCAACAGGTTCCCCTATATATATTGAACCTTGGCACAAATGATCGCACGATATTAAATTTTACTGTCTAGTTCGTCACATACCGCTATTAAGCAGGTGTTTTTTGTAATCGACGTTAAAACCTTTTTTCGGGAAAAAAGTAAGTATTTCTAATATATTTTGAAGTCTAATAGTTGTAAACGTTTTATAATAGTCAATTACTTTTTACATGCTATGGATTATTATGTTCAACAAGTGTCCAAACAATAAAAAACTTACGAGATAAATAACTTTGAAACTATTTAAAATTCATTGTTTTGTTGAAGTTGGAGTGGTGTTGTACCTCGGTCACTGTCGACCAGTTGTTCCTTGGTCAGTGGCTAGGGTACAACTGGGTGTTGTACTCTGGCCTTGGTGTTTTTTGACACGGAAATTACTAGAAAAGTATCAAGTGAGATAATATCACTAAATCGAAATTATATAATAGAAATTTTTGAAAAATATTTACTACTTAAAATACACACAGGCTGTGTGTATTTTACACTATATAATTCGAAATTTTGAAAGATAATATTTTGTTTTTGACTTTGCATTTTGAAACTTTGTTGTGATTTGCTACATTTTTGAGTGTTGTTCGATCTATATCTCTGTTTGAAAAATTTCTAATTGTTTAATGTAAAATACAAACAGGTTAGTATACTATATGTATGTACAATAGTACATACATACAAAAATAAAGTAATTAATAGATTATAGTAAGTTTTACAAGCTGCCTTATTTTATTAACGTTTTTTTAAGTATAAGTTTATAATATTTTATACTAATATTTTAGATATTTCATACTAATATTTAATACTCATGTTTGTTGCTGTAATTTTTATTTAATTAGTTGAGAAAAATGGTTAATTAAGCAAAAAAGTACAGTAAATATTTATTTTATTCAAAGTAGTGTTTTTTTGGTTGTTGTTTGAAAGGTTTCGGTGTAAGTTTTAGATCAGTTCCTTTTATTTTACCTTAATTATAAATATAATTTTTATAATTGTAGTACTTGATAATATTATATACTACAATTATAAAAATAATTTTTATAAAAATTTTTTATACAACTGTTTAAAGTTACAGTGAAGTTTTATTTTAAAAACCAGGGTTGATGATGGATGTTATTGTAAATTTATTTTGTGGTCAGCTGTTTAAATATTATTTTGTTATATCTGTTATCTTGCTGGAGTACAGGATTTTTAAATAGACAATTGTTAAATAAGTTATTCTTTGTGACATTTTTTTTTCCCTCCACGTTTCTTGGTTTAACGTATTTAGTGTATGTTTATTTACGTCAAACATATTTATAATAAAATAAGATAAACAAATATTTGTAAATCTAAATATTAGGTAAAAAAAAAAGTAAATTTTATTTTTGAAAATTAAATTTGTTGTTGTTTTAAAGTTGCTGTTTTCGACATTATATATGTCTAGTGTAATATATTCCTAATTAAATATCTTTATTTTTTTTTCTCTATTCCCAGCCGGCACAACTCAGAAAAGAGTTACGCTTGGTTTCTGTTGCGTTTTTAAAACTTTCTAAAATAAAAAGAATAACACGTATCAAAAATGGTTTTTATTCCGTGAAATTAACTATTACTATTTACCATAAACACCAATTAAAGTATTAATGGTTTCACAGTTATGGAAACGTAGTATCATATTGTAATGACTTTCCGTTAGGAATGTGAAACCAATGATAAAAACATTCGACATTTAAATTTGACTTTAAAACCTCAAAAAACACGTATTAAACTCTAGTAAAACTACCCGTAAAATACACGTGCTTTTGGTTTACGCCTGGATCGTGAAAAACACGTGCCTATATAGGTTTTATTTCCGAAAAAAAAACTAGATGTGCCGATAGGGTTATTTCAGAAATCATGCCTAGAAGTAAAGAACTGAAGAAAAGGACACCAATTAATGTGAATGATCTGACAAATGCCATTAAAATGAATAAGGATAAAAAATTCACCACTTTCGGTGCTTCCAAACATTTTGGATTACCAAGAACAACTTTGCGTCGTCATTTAAAGCACTGTTTGGAAATTGGTAAAGATGTAAGCAAGTTACATGAAAACCTTGCAGTTAATCAAGTTTTTGATCTCACCGCAGAGCAAAGTTTGGTGGACTATGTTAAAGACGCAGCACACTTGCAATTTGGATTGACTCTAAAAGACGTGAAAATACTTGCTTACCAATTTGCAAAAGTGAATTGAAAAAAGTACCCTAAGAGCTGGGATACAAACAAAATGGCTGGAGATTATTGGTTGCGATTATTTAGGAAGCGATACCAAAGGAAATTGTCTTTAAGAAAGCCTGAAGCTACTAGTTTGGCTCGCTCTTCGGCGTTTAACAAACATACTGTGAGTTTAACATATGACAATTTTAAGAAAGTTCTGTCTCAATGTCCATCTGACATAAAAGCCACTGATATTTGGAATTTAGATGAAACTGGATTGTCCACTGTCCATGTTCCTCCAAAGATACTAGCACCTCTTGGAATGAAGCAAGTTGGGTCAATGACTAGCACTGAAAGAGGAACGACGGTTACAATGATAGCAGCTATTAATGCAGGTGGTGGTTTTATTCCACCCATGCTGATATTCCCTCGTGTAAACTTTAAAGATTTTATGATAACTGGTGCTCCTCAAGGCAGTATTGGAGTTACCAATCCATCCGGTTGGTCAAACGAGTCCATGTTTGTGAAATTTCTCCAGCATTTTATCAAATATGCAAAGCCTACCATAGAACAGCCGGTCATTCTCATAATGGACAACCATGAAAGTCATATTTCAGTACCCGCAATACAAAAAGCCAAAGATAATGGTGTAAAGCTTATTACTCTAGATCCACATACTAGTAATCATATGCAACCATTAGACAAGACAGTTTTTGGGCCTTTCAAGACTTATTTTAATACAGCAGCTAATGAGTTACTAATGTCTCCAGGTCGTGGGGTAAAACCATTAACTATATATGATATTGCTGGCTTTGTGGGAAAAGCTTTTCCTCTTGCCTTCACATCTAACAATATTTGTAAAGGTTTTACCTTTTTTGTTTGAATATAAATGATATAAATGTTTGAAATAAATGTCCTTTGAAATAAATGTCCTTTGAAATAAATACCTTTTTTAAAGGTTTAGTTCAACTGGTTTCCATCCTTTGAATGAAAAGATCTACATAGATACTGATTTTATGCCCGCATCCTATTCTGATCGTCCACTTACTGGAAAATCACCCACCAAAATTGATCAGGTGTCTGTTAGTCAGCCGACTGCTTCAGGTTCCAAAAATATAAACAGAGAATTGCCAACTTTTATATTGCCAGGTATAATACGCCCTTACCCAAAGCCGAGCCTCGTAAAGAAACACGAAAAGGAAGACAAAAAGGAAGATCCAGAATTTTGACCGATACACCAGAAAAGAAAGGAATTGAAAATATAAAAGCTAAAAAAAATGTTTCAAATAGGTTAATGAATAAAATGAAACGTTGTTTGTTTGTTCTATGTTTCAAATAGGTTAATGATAATAATGAAACGTTGCAGCGAACAGACGCTTTTGAACAGCTCTTTATAAATTATTAAAATAAAAGATAAACTTATTATTATTAAAAAAAAAGATAAATCTAAAGTGTCAGTTACTCTTGTAGAAGTTAAAAAAATGCTGAAGGAAATGTTTTTGGAATATAGAAAAGAAATGGAAACAATGCTTAAGCAACAACAACAAATATTTATAGAAATCTTAAGCGCAAATACAAAAATAATTATGAGAGACTTGACAAAGTTGAAGAAAACTCTAAAGAAAGTGCAAACAAAATAAAGATAATAGTAAAAGATATCGAAGACATAAAATTGAGCTTAAATTTTCATCATGAAGTTTTTGACAAAAAAATTGCAACTATCCACAAACAAAACAATGATCGAGTGGAAAAGGAAAACATTACAACGCAAAATATAAATGAAAAGCTAAGAAAGTTTGAAGATAGATCGAGAAGAAATAATTTAAGAATAGACGGTTTACCAGAAAGTGTGAAAGAAACATGGAATGAAACTGAAGATAAAGTTAAACTATTTTTAGTCAATAAGTTGGGACTAAATGGAATAGAAGTCGAACGAGCTCATCGAACCGTAGCCAGAAAAGAAGGAAGCTCCAGAACAGTTATAATGAAGTTGTTAAGATACAATGATAAAACAAAAATTCTAAAAGAGTCATATAGACTAAAAGGTACAAACATTTACTTAAACGAAGATTTTTCCCATGAGACTATCAATATTAGGAAAAGACTCCTGGCTGAAGTAAAAGAACGACGCAATAATGGTGAAAATGTTGGTTTAAGGTACGATAAAATTATTAAATTAAATAATATCAAAAAAAAATAACTCTTCTTTCTTATATTTATATTTTACACGTGTATGAATATATTTATATATCTTATATTTAATTTTTTAAGCAGTTAAATTTTTAATTATGACAATGACGGAAACAAAATATTTTGAAATTTTTGATAAAGAAAACACTCTTCTTCTGAACAATAACAACGACCCTGACAAAAAAATTTTTGAAAACGACTCTTTTAAGTCTAATTACTATAGTATCGAAGAATTATCTTGTTTTATAAATGCGTCACAAAATACTTTTTCAGCGCTGACATTAAATATACGCAGCATGAGCAAAAACTTTGAAAACTTTAAAGAAATGCTAAAAGACATAAGTCACGAATTTACGGTAATATGCCTTTTAGAAACATGGTGCAAAGACGAAAATACCATAAACTCAAATTTTCAATTAAAAGGCTATAAAGCTCTCCATCAAACTCGTAGTAGAGGTACTGGCGGAGGAATATGTTTCTACATACATAATACAATACAGTTTAAAAAGTAGAAAGCCTAAGCATACTGAACGCAAACTGTGAACTTTTCACGGTTGAATTAACAAACCAAAGTAAAGCAAATGCGTATATTACTGGCTTATATAGACCACCAGATGGCAATATAAAATCCTTTAAAAAACATATAATTCAGTACCTAGAACTGGCTAAAAATAAGCACTTATACATAATGGGAAATACTAACTTGGATCTTTTAAAAATAAAAACTAATAACAATGTCAAGCGCTTTTTAAATAATCTCTTACAGCACGGCGTAGAACCCTTAATAAATAAGCCAACTCGAGTAACTCTCCGAACAGCTACCCTGATCGATAAAATATTTACAAATACTACCATAAAATGTAATATTCAAAGCGGAATAATAAAATCTGACATAAGTGACCATTTTCCGATATTTCTTCTGCTTAACAATTTCAACAATAAATAAGAAAACAAAACAATAATTACAACAAAAAGGCAAACAAATGAAAAAAGTATAACAAAGTTCCGAACCAACTTATCAATGGAAAACTGGGATCAGGTTGTTAATTGCAAAGACACTAACACAGCTTACGATATTTTTAAACACACTTTTACAACTTAGTACGAAAAAGCGTTTCCGAAGCTTGAGCAATTAACAAAACTCAAAAACCTTAAAAGTCCTTGGATGACAAAAGGGCTTATTAAATCTTCAAAAAAAAAAAAAACTTTATGAAAAATTTTTGAAAAAAAAGACTTTTAAAAACAAAAAAATATATAAACAATACAAAAATTTATTTAAAAAATTAAAAAAACATTCAAAAAAAAACTATTACTGCAATTTATTAGAAAATTATTGCGGTAACACTAAAAAAACATGGGGCGTAATAAAAGAGGTAACAGGAAAAAAAAAAGATGCTACCAAAGTGTTCCCGCAATACTTAAAAACAGATGAAAATGGTACAGTAGCCAATAAGGCAATAGATATTGCAGAGAAATTTAATAACTATTTTAAAAAATTGGGGAAAAACTAGCTAATAAAATAACTCGTGGAAAAAAATGTTATAAGCTGTATCTAGAAAAAAAAGCCTCAGTCATGAACGAGCTTGAAATAACTCCGGATAAGCTTAAAAATGCATTTAATACCTTACAAGAAAACAAAAGTCCAGGACTAGATGACATTAGCGTGAACGTTGTAAAAAATGTCTACAATATTATTGAATATCCCCTTCTGCATATCTGTAATCTGTCTTTAAAAAATGGGGTGTTCCCTGACCAGCTAAAGCTAGCAAAAGTTGTTCCGATATTTAAAAGCGGAGACGATTCGATTGCTTTTAACTACAGGCCTATTTCTATTTTCCCATGCATTTCAAAAATATTAGAGCGCATAATGCACAATAGGCTAAACAATTATCTAGTAAACCACCACCTACTAAATAATAACCAATATGGCTTTCAAAAACACCATTCAACAGAACACGCTGTAGCCAAACTTGTCAATGAAATTAAAAATGGGTTTGACAACAATAAATACACTCTTGGGGTATTCCTCGATCTCTCAAAAGCGTTTGACACTGTTGACCACGAAATTCTTCTTTATAAACCATATAATTATGGAATAAGAAATAACAATTTAAAATGGTTTCGCTCTTACCTTAATAATCGGAAACAAGCTTTATCATATAACAACACTGTAACACGACTTGAAGACATTACTTGTGGGGTCCCACAAGGATCAATTCTTTGTCCATTATTATTCCTCGTTTATATTAACGATATCTACTTATCTTCTAACATACTTAACTTTGTCCTTTTTGCCGATGATACGCAAGTGTTCTTTAGCCACACAAACATTAGCCTATTATTTAACACTGTTAATCAAGAACTTGAAAGCCTGAACGAATGGTTTAAGGCTAACAAACTCTCCTTAAATGTCGAAAAAAGTAAATATATTTTTCTTACAAAATTATCCAAATCTGAAACCCTCCCCTTAAAACTACCTGATTTACTAATTGATAAAACTAAACTTAAACGAGAATACTCAATCAAATTTTTAGGCGTAATTCTTAATGAACATCTTAGCTGGAGTAATCATATCAAAGTAATAGAAAATAAGATATCAAAAATTATTGGTATTATGTATAAAACAAAACATCTCCTAAACACAAATTGTTTAAAAAATATTTATTTTGCATTTATTCATAGCTACATCAGCTACTGCAACATTATCTGGGCAAGTACTTATCCTTCAAAGTTAAATATGATCTACAAAATACAAAAACGAGCAATTCGCTTGATATTAAATGCAAATAAATACGCTAGTGCCAGACCACTACTAAGAGAAATTGGAGTGCCTAATATCTATGAAATAAATATTCTTAATATACTTATTTTTATGTTTAAGTTTAAAAATGGTATGCTACCAAGCATTTTCCAAACTTATTTTTTTTCTTTAAACCACAAATACGAAACTAAATACTCAACAGATAATTTTATTATACCAAAAACATTATCAAAACAAGCTGATTTTTCGATATCTTGCCGAGGGCCGCGGTTATGGAACTTGCTTTTAACAAGTAATATAAAAACTTTAAAATCAACTCAACATTTTAAACGTGCAACAAAACAACACTAAAGGTGAGTTTCCACTCATCCGTTTTTTCACGGGAACGGGATAGGAAAGGGAAAAATAATCACGTGAGCATGCGTAGTTCTCCTTCGGACATATTAAAACTTATACTACGCATGCCCACGTGATTATTTTTCCCGTCCCTTTCCCGTTCCCGTAAAAAAAACGGATGAGTGGAAACTCGCCTTGACACAAAGCAATTACTATCGTATTATTAAAAACTTTTGGTAATCTTAGTTATTTATATATATGTCTTATAAATTGACTCAACATCACAATTATATTGCATGGTACTTAGAACATGTATGATATTATTTTATTTTACAATAATAACGTAATTTGTAAATGCAATATTTATTATATCTTACGAAATTTGTAGATGGAATGTTATACAGATTTATTTGATTTGTATGTATATATGAACGGACATATATTTGTGTGTACGTGTGCGTATGTGTGTATGCGTGCGTGTATAATAAAAATAAAAGTAGAATAAAATAGAGAATTAAAAAAAGTAATAATAATGAGAAGAAATAATTAATTTTTTTTTTTTTTTTTTCTCTTTCTGTAATTAATAGTTTGATTTT